ACGTATGCAAGACTTCTGCACTAACAAAATAAATTTTATAATCTGCGAACGAAATTCTCCTGTAGTTTCACATTAAAGAAGGAACACTTACTTATGCCTTTTGGGAATTCATTAGCGAACAAGTAATTGCCATTTGTCTCCACGCGACAGAGGAGCTGGTTTGCTGTATGAATCATCACAGGCCAAGATTGACGTCTTCAGGTTTATATGATATTTTCCCTCCCAGAATATCGGGTCGTTATAGACTCGAAAAATTCCTTTGTTTTTGTAAGAACCCCACCTGTCGCATCCGCTACCATTCCTATTATTACCCCACTTATTACAGTTAGCGGCTAGGAATGAATTATCGTCAGCGAGTGTTACGAAGGAACCACACGCTCTAGGCTGGATACTAGGATCTTCCGTGAGATAGTGAACGGCTCGCTCTCCATTTGGGTCATTCTTGGTCATTATATGGAAAGTCCTCCCTGTGGATTCTTTTCGGCAAAAGTAACGGATCTGTGTGAACTTCACGAGTCTTTTCAATTGGAGTATTGCAGGGACGTCAATACGTATGATCCCACTGCTGTAGTTTGTGATCATTCTGAAGTTTTTCGCTCTGATCATGGGTGGAAACGACGTAGAGTTCTTAACCACAGTTTGTGCTAACAGAGTCCATCCACCTATAAAAACAGGTTAAACTTTTGATTGATTGTTACCATGAACGAGTCAAGTCATAATCGCAATAACATAGACATAATATCGCACTAAACATGTTATAACAAAACTATTACATCCGTTTTATGTCATGAATGTGATGCAGTATATTTTAAACAAAAGTAATAATGATAACGACGACGATGATGATAATGATTATGATGAAAATAAAGATGATGGCATAAGATTAGACGAGAGAAACAAAAGAAGAGCTAGTTCAAAAGCTAAGCGAGTGGATCAAAACGTGAGAGGACAAACTAAGTGCAATGCATTAGGACTGGTCCATCCTTGCATACGGAGGCTGCACTCGCAGTACGAGCGGCAGTCAAAACTGAGCTGTTCTACCGAAACGACACAATAATAGCCCTTTTTTCGCAGCTAACAAAAGTGAAGACAATGCTAAAGTTGCTTTGGCCTCTAGTAATTGTTGACTTGAGAATTCCGGGTTTACTTTGACAAGGAACAGGATGTTCTGTTCAAAATAACACAACTATTATCCTACCTAGCGACACTCGGCGAACTAAGAGCGAGTTGCCTTTCCGAACGCTGGCGACCCATTTTTGGCGCCAAATTAGAGGCTTGGAGAGACAAAATGTTTCATATTTTTATCTTTTTACAATCTGATATGGTTTTTGAAATTGTAAATCCCTTTTCGTGAATATAATGTCATCTCCAGTGAGAAAAGTTGTCTGATTTCAATGCCTTTCCTGTTAACTAACTTTGACGTCGGGACAGTAAAGTTTTTCCCGCCTCTGAATCCTGATTGGTCAATTCAAATTTCAAACGTGCCAGTCGTATGCAAGGATCAAAATTGCGTTTACTTTGCGTTTTATTAAAGTAGCGATTAAGTTATTTATCTAACCTCCGTCTGTTGTCATATCACAGAATACTGTAAATGGATTGTTGGAGTCGGTAGGATCAATCCAGTAGACACCGCTTGCTGAATCCTTGTTGGAGTCACTTATATCTTTGCAGGACAAACCAGGGAGGTCTTTGTCCATACCTACACGGGCTATAAAGCGTAGTTATGAAAGAGTAATTCTAAGTAATCAGATCAACAAACAATTTCAGAGGGAATTTCACTTTGCTCAAATATCTATTTTTCAGCATCGTCTGACTTAATGAATGAAAGCAAACAAATTTATTGTGCGCAAATAGATCAACTTTGGTTGCGTGGATTTAATAAAAATGACAACAAAAACCGCTCAGGAGTGAGCATTTTTGCAGAAGTTAACCAACTCACCATGGTTTGGGAATGTCAAAGTGCTGTGATATTGTTTGCCTGATGTGTTTAATTTTGTGGCGTGTTCTTTAAATTGGCTTTAAAAATTATCATATATTAAATATCTCCATCTCTCACTGACCTCTAAAAGGATTGTCTACGTATACGCTCCCTTCCAGTTGAACAAACTTGTCCGGTTTCTCGCTTTTAGTCCTGTTACTGATCTCACATATAGACGTCTCCAAGTTGTAATTTAAACTTCGGCAATCGAGTTTTGTTTTGCACGTTTGAAAACAGCTCCAAATGCTGTTTTCTTTGTCACTTGAAATTACGTGTCCCACGAGTCTGTGATCTTTTTGAGAGTCCGTTCTTATGCACCCTTGAGCTAAGCTCGTTGCGTAACATACGAAGAACCAAACGCCGCTGATAAGATACAATGCCATTTGAAAAAAGTACTAATTAATCCGTCTCTGAAATTAAGAAAAAAATTAATATGAAAATAATATCCTCAATGTGTCCATTATCGGAATCAAAATCTGGGAATCATGCATTCTAAGTTACATTTGTAGAAACCAACTAAAGAAATCTTCTCTATAGCCTTACATAAACAGGGGAGGAATTGCTACATGGAGGAGCTCGTGAAAGAGATTCGACCACCACTGACCCTTAAAATGAATGAACACAATATATTTCCCAACCGAAGTCACCCATGAACAAGACTCACTAAACAATCAGCTATTCCTCTTCCTATCCGAAAATTAACAAGAGCAATGATCTATATTACATTGGTTGTTTAATACCTACCACAAAGTGCATTGAAATACGCATTTTTTGCCTTTTTTTCTTTTTGGACCTTAGCACAATTTTTTAGCAGCAGTTTGCCTTGAGTTTTGGTCACGGTTTGGATAATTTATATCAGCCGAAACCACACGATTAAAGAAATACAAAGCAACAAATCTTACCATATATATTGACTAGACGGAGTGTCTTGATAGATCTTCTTATTGCAGACGCCATTATCAGTTTTCTTTTTCTAAACAGCAGCAATAGAAAACCGATCTCTAAGACGTCAGTTACACACTTATGGCCTTTGTCCGGAAATGAAAATCTAACTTTGATTATACTAAGTGGTGGAGTGTTGTTTTTTACTGTTTGAAAATTGTCAAGATCTGTCAAAATATGTAATTAGAAATAACCTCGTTGTAGTTGGAAAAGTACACAAATCACAATTGAGCTAAGACATTTCTAATTTAGTTTCCGCATAATTATTCAAAGAGCCCGCTAGGGTAACTGGTGCTACGTTTTTCCCATCAGGCAGAGTGATCCTTTGTTCAGCTCTCTCTTGACAGGGCAAGAAATATTACAAGTGCATCGCAGGTCAGCTCCCAGCACTTTGATGATTCGATCAACCATTTCCTAATTGTATCCGTATTCATTTATACATGCAATTGTTTAAATTTGTTTTCCATTTGAATTTTTTTCAAACCAGTTCGATCACTATTTCGCTTTGTTATTGGTTATACTTATATTTGCACACGCTAGATAACATAGAAACTAAAAAAAATAGAGGTTTTTTTGGATAAAAAATGAACCCCTACAATTATTTGAAAGCGTCACTTTTTCTGACCCGTCAAGAAAACGTGTCCAAGCCATTCAATGAACTGAAAGGTTATAATAAGAGGACAAAGAAACCATACAACCCGCAAATAAAAATAATTGTGATAGCAACCATTGTTAACATAACGAGGTGAATTAAATTACTACGTCCGTAGTCGTAACACTCCAACCTCCCTCTGTAAACGAATTTTTTCTTTGCATATATCATGTATAGGGAAACTGATATTTTTTTAATATCAAAGTATAAGTTATAAATTTAATTTTTAATTAATAATACGTAATGATGATCATGTTGTGAGAAAGAGCGTGAGAGAAGTCCATATGCATCTTTACAATAGCACTTCCATAAACTTGATGGTAACCTAGATGTCTTCAGTTTTACAATACTCGATGAAGTGCGATCCTTAACTATGGTAAAGAGAGGCGAGCTCACCTGACAATCATCAAACACAACAGTTGTCAGCAGTTTAATCACCCATTAGTGTTCATTTTAAGTGGATTCCGGAACAATGAAAACTTAAAATGACATTGATAGGGGAGTTGCATTTAAAGCCAAAACTCAGCGTTTTTGCTTTTATAAAAGTGTCAGGACTTAGAATATCAAACCTGATGGAATATTTTGCTTTTTTATGTCGCCGTTAGTCCATTGGATTTCTTCCCCTTTACTTAATGATAGAGGTAAATGAGTATGAACTTAAAATGACAAACTTAAGCTGTTCAGAGGAATTTCCAACCTTCTCACTGATAGTTCTCACCTGTTTAAATAGCATATCTGGCCACATAACAGTTTGTGGCAACCTTCTGGTACTAATGGCTATCTTCCGGACGCCTTCTCTTCGCGAGGCGTCTTACGTGTTCATTGGCTCGTTGGCCGCCGCAGATCTAACTATTGGACTGGTAATGACTCCCACATACGCTGCGATCGTTGGTCAAAGCATCACTGATGCCGGCCATCCTTTGAACGTGGCGGAACATTATCTCTGGATCCACACTGTGATAACAACTACCTTTAACCTGGCAGGCATAAGTGTCGAGAAATATATCGCTGTAATTCATCCTTTACACTACCCACTGGTAGTGACCACTCGTCGAACCATTGTTGCTGTCATTGCAATTTGGTGCCTGTCGGTGCTGTTTATGTGTGCGCAAGCTTTTATCAATAAGTCACACGATATCGAGACCTACTGGATCGCACATTTTGCCATTGCAATAGCAATTCCTCTAGCCATTAATTCATTTGTTTATTCGATTCGAATGCGAGATTTTCGCACTGCAATAAGAAGAATGTGTAGCTCATCTAACTACAGCAATGACATTAAAATTGTGCACGTTATTGCACGATAATCCAGCTCCCAATCGCATATGGTTCATTGTTACGCATTTTATTAGTTTCCTGATGTAAGTTCTTACATGTTTTCAACCAATAAATGAAAAAAATATCTCTTGGTCAGTGGCCTTCTTTATTGTCCTCAAGAGCCTGATTGACAATTTAAACCTTGGAAGTAAAAATATTATGCGTGATATTGGCTTTCGCTGTACGTGTCTTGGAAAGTGAACACCGAAGTTGTATCTGTTTTAAAAGTAAATACAAAATGTTTACCTTGGTCCCTGTTCATGCATGATGATCAGAAAAAAATTGGATAAATATTTTTTTTCTCGGTTATTAAATTATGCGTTGCAAAATTACAATATTCGGAACGGGTCTGACCAAACGAAGATCAAATTTTTATTTTGTAGCGATTGTAATGAATTGCTGTGTTCAGTCAGTATGGTCGTTATTATTTTTTTTATCATCGTATAGTAGTTAATTAACGTATATTATTCGAAATGTGTTTTATTAGTTGAATAAAGAAGACTCATTATCGGTTCCTTCTTCAAAAGTTTAACCTGATATACGTAAACCTTAGAACATAATTAAAGGAACAAACAGTGTTACTAGTTCTCTCTGGATCGGATGCTATTCTATCGCAATTTACCCTAGAAGTTTGCTTTTACTCATGTCTACTCCTGGGCGAGGAGAGGAAGGGTGAGATTGAGTGTCTTGTCGATATAAAACAATGACCCAGTAAAATCAGAGAAAAAAATAATAATTTGCTTCTAATAAATAAACCTAACGGAGCAATGTTCTCTATTTTGACTTGCACCGAGACGATAATGCCTTGCGATTGTTGTCAAAATCTATTCCATTGACTTGAAGGTAGCCTGCGAACGCAGACGTATTTCCGGCTGTCGCTTGTCTCCGCCGAAAATAACAGCTGCGAACCCGAGCCAGGAAACGATTTTTGTGACGTAGGAATTTTAAGTCAATCACAGTTTAGCTCAAGTAGCCCCAGAACTACTGCGCGAGGTATTCGTTGCGAGGAGCATTCGAGTTTCATTCTATCATGGAATCTGATTGGCGAAAGAGAAACAAAAGTCATTACGTCACAGAAATAGTTTCTTGGCTCGGGTTCGCAGACGTTATTTTCGGCGGAGACAAGCAACAGCCGGAAATATGTCTGCGTTCGCAGGCTAACTTGAAGGCGGCAAAGGAGCGAAATTGTCTATGAATCACTTAAAATTCAGAAGACGCAGTTAGTCAAAGCGAGCCGGAAACAGTTAACATATTACCAAAAAAGTGTATCGTTATGAACTCAAAGTTGTCAATCATTAATCTAAAAAGGCGAAATTCAAATTGTTGGGCAAATTAGAATTAGACTAGCAATTAAACTGTTTTAAGCTTTCCATTTGTGTGGAAAAACCGGTTTTTTTGGTGGGAAACCAATAGAAAGGGCCTTTCCAATGGAAATCTTCCGCAAAATCGGGAATACCTTCAGAGACATTACCCTTTTCTCGATTCCACCAGAATAATCACAAAAATACTGCGCCATAACCATTTTGGGATACGCAGTTGTTTCGATAAAAAATCAAATGGAACAGTCCTTTCCACTTGAAGTTTTTCAAGTGTTGTCAAATGAAATACATTCATTCCGCCTCATATTGTGCATCGAAAATTTGTCCTGTTCCATTGTAGGAAATTTCATACAGATTTTTCACGCAAATGGAAAGCGTTTTAGGTTTTTGTAATCCAGAAAGGATTATGTTGCATCAGACCAAGCGATAATAGTGCTATCACTAAAACTCAACTGGTGTAAACGCATAGTGCTTTTATATATTTATTACCTGATTGAAAAAAACAGATATTTTGGTCGAGCTAACTCCTATTGTTTGATGGTCCGGTTAGCTTTTAATTAACCATGTAGATGATTGACAATGGTGTATATGGTGTAATTTAAGTGCACCATTATCTATTACACTGGTGTACCATGGTCCCCCTACTCTTGATGTCTTGATGTAGTGCCATGGCTGTTTAGAGTCAGTATTAAAAAGTGTGCACAAACTGATACAATGTTAGATGTTATGCAAACATTCGCGATTTCGTGGCCTTGAGGGGAATGTTTAATGCATAGACGTGTGATTAACGGAGGTTTGGTTGTGATATGTATGCGTGGAAGGTGGTTCCTTCCTGAGAGTGAGGCGGGTTCTGAGTGGAAGAGGTTTTTGGAATAGGTATAACTCAAAGATCGTTTGTGATATAGCTCCATGTATAAATGAATTCTATTTTGCATG